TAGATCTCAATGAAATAATGAAATTTAATTATTAATAAAAAGAACTTAAAAAAAAATAGATAGTGAATAAAAGAAGTTTTATTCATGTTATTTCACTGATGAAATTGTTTACTTAATATTAGTTACATTGTGTAATAGAATGTAATAGAATCTAGATTAGATAACAAGAAATATGACATACTATATTGATTGATTGAATTAGATATACTAAAAGAATTCAAATTATATCTTGGTATGGTTGAGTGTGGGGAGAGTCCGCTCTCTCTCTCGCTCGCTCGCTCACTCCAAATGCTGACAGGGCAGTTCTATTTCATGCCTTCTCGTGGTAGGAGTGTTATTGCCCCAAATGCTCTGGTACGACCGAGAGTGGGGAGAGTTCGCTCACTCTGTCGAAATGCTCTCACATGGTCACGCGTATATAGCCTCTGTCAGGGAAGTCCTACTCATTGCCTTCTCGTGACATTACTGTTGTCTACGAAACTGAGAGGACGAAAAGCAAATATCCGATGCTTTAACCGGGTTGGTGGACAAGGAGAGTCCATCTAGGGGAGTTGGAAAACCCTGATTCCAAACCAATGATGTACATGGGCTCCAGTATCCCGAGAGAATAAATGGCGTATGAACCAATCGTTAGTCACCAGCTACCATGGGACTGCATCTCCTTCCGATGTTCCACTACCTTGTGGATCAGACATTTAGGTCGAAGGCTCCAGATGTGTCCCCCTAAGAACACCACCTGCTTCGATTTGAGTACCCGAGCAGTATCACAGCCCTCACACATATCAAATGGGATTTGAGTGGCGCATGTGCATCTGGTGCCTCTTTGTACCAATATCTATGTGTTCAAATAAATAAATAAATAATAGGAGTGTTACTTACGAAATTGATAACGAATGTGTGAGAGCTGGGATACTACCCGGGTTCCCAAAGCGAAGCAGGTGGTTATCTTAGCAGGCTACACCTAGAGCCTTTGAAATGAAGGTCTGATCCTCAAGGCAGTGGAGCAACGTAATGAGATGCAGTCCCATGATAGTAGGTGATCAATAACAAGTTCATACACCGTTTGCTTCTCCAGAATTCTGGAGCCCATTAGTACCATTGGTTTGGAATCAGGGTTCTACAACTCTCATAGGTGAACTCTCCATGTCCACCAATCCGATGAAAGCGCTGGATATTCGGTTTTCGTTCTCTCAATTTCATAAACAATAGTCATGCCTCAGGAAGGCAGTGAGTATGACTTCATGTGAGAGCATATCGAGAGGGAGAGTTGGCTCTCCCCACTCTCAGCTGTACCAGCACATTTAAGAGCTAGCACGTTCAATTGTTTTCAAAGTTATAGAGCTCATTGTGATAATATTAACTCTCTATTGTTAGTGGTCTAAGAACATTAAGTTAATCTTCTAATAAACACTTAAACTTTTTCTTACTAATTAATTCTTAACGTGAAAATGTATTCAAGATTGTACAAAACCTTCGATAAAAAATTCTTGCTTAAAGTAATTTCGTTACCTATTATATTCAGTCAGTCAGTCAGTAACAACGTAGAACTTCGTACGTACGTACATCAGTTCGAGTTGCCACACCATATTAGCACAGAGATGCAGTTGTCCATTCAAATCCCGTAGTGGTAGAGGTAGTGAGAGTATAAGCAGTAATTGCAAACATTAGGGTTTGAAGATGTTATTCAAGGAGTATAATTCAGCGAAATAAATTTGGAAAGAGAAAAAAAGAGACATGAAGAATTCAGACGATTAGAATTTGGGAGAACACAAAGATTGTATGCACCTGAGCCATTATAAACGATTTTGAGCCATGTCACTCAACATCTCTAACCATCGGTTGCTATCATCTCATGGATCCCAATCACGTAGTCTACACCTACCAACATGACTCACTCAGTCCACTTGTCAGTGACTTCATGGATTTGTTCCATGTTTTGGTCTGGTCGCCCTTAGCTTTCTTCCTACCTACTCCTATACCATGAAACATCGCACATCGGGGCAGTCAGTGGTTGGGCATACGTAACACGTGTCCCAGCCATCTCAACTGATGAAGTTTCACTACGTCATCAGTTGATTTGCCATCCGTACATAGTACCCGTTTCCTAACAACCGTATTACTTACTCCATGGTCCCATGATATACGAGCAATATTTCGAAGGCACCTATGATCAAATACTAATAACTTACGAATATCCTCTACTCTTACCGGTCATGTTATACTCTCATAAAGTAGAACGAAACGAATGCTGCGCAGTAAACCTATTATATTAAAAAAAATTAAAGAATAGATTGAAGAAGATAATATCGATTTTTGGCATTACTAAATACATTTTACAATGGAACATTGTACTTCAATATGAAATAAGTCGTATTAGATAATCAATGGATACAAAAGAAATTCTTGCCAATAAACTTACATGCAAAAACATTCAAAGTTAAATAAACTATGGAAACATTGAAAAGTGGACAAATGGTATATAACTTTACAGATTTCACTATGATCTATAATGTTTCCCGTTAATTTATCTACTATTTATTATTATATACAGTAAATCCATTATCAATGTAGATACATATGGTAATGTCCATTTACAGAAATATGCTTGTTAGTAATGTCCTATGTATGTAAATATAAGTCAAAATATATTATCTTTTCCCATTGTTTTCCTTCTTTTTTTTTCTCTCTCTCTCTCTCCGTCTTACCCTCTCGCTCGCTCGCTCTCTAACACACATACTTATAAAGATACTGTCTTGTAAACTGTTTATTTGCTATTAAAACAAATGAATAATACATAAATCTAAAATCACTTCCCAGTTCAACTAATTTACAATTATGCCTACTTTACATATAGTCTTCATATTCTGTTTATACTTCAAATCTACATTATCACAAATCATACGATCATTCATATTCAACTACTTCTCTCAACTGATACATGTAAATATATATATACACTGAAATAAAAGATTTATGTAGAAAAGAGAAATACCTTTGTCTTTTATTGTAAACGCTCTTCATGTTATTAATGAGTTAACAATAGTTTAGTTAAACATGTAAACAGTAAATAAGTAAACAGATTTTCAAAGTTGTACTATGTAACTTTTTCATAGTCAAACAGTGAGCAGAACTGATTTTTCAAAAGTTTTGTTTTGTCACTTTAACTACTTATATTAAATATCAGTAGACTAAGCATATAAATTAAAATATTTGTTGATGTTATAATCCTGGGGGGAAAATCATTTAGTTTGTTAGTTAACAACCCTTTAAACAATATGTAAGTTCAGATTATAGTCATATTTTTCTAATGAGGATGGTTCCTCAAAGATTTCGCCATACTTTTAAAACGATGTTTTTTTTGCTGAAGACTACAACTAGTTATTATATGTGACAAGAAAAAATCACAAATTGATCAAGAATACTAAAGGTGGATTGCCTCGATATTGCCTTAAGTCACAAGCTTTTTAAGCAAAGATAGATAGTGGCTAGCTTGTGACTCAAGGCAATATCAAAGCAATATGCACAGTATGCACACGTGTCAATAAGAAATTGCTCAACTGCAGTCCTAAACATCAATGGAAAGATCTAAGCAAACAATACCAAGTGGATAATGATTAGTTGGTACTGATGATAATCATTTCACATAAAATTTATGTTAGGATAGTCGGAAAAATAAACCAATAATTATCGTGTTAAGTCTATGGTGGCCTTGGACCTTAAATGTACATTTCCTATTGGTCGATGTTTATTTCACTTGTTAAATATTGTGTAAATGTTGTTTTCTATTTTATGGTACGATGTGGTCTGCTTGATTGGTATATAAACAGAGTATGTTTGAAATACAATGATTCATAACTCAGAGGCTGTGACTTGTGTTCTTGACTCAACTGGCTAGGACAGACAGCAAAGCAGGGCAAATCAGGGCACTAGGTCGTCCGTACGTGTTTACGTGTCACTGTCACCGAATCGATCAATAAAACGCTGCTTATCAAAAACCTGCAGTCCCACACGTTACAACAATTTACTTCAGTGATTTTCCTTTACTAGCCGATTTAACATCATCGGATCCCAGTTACTTATTTTTAGGTCTGTATAAAAGAGTATTAGTAATCCATAGATAGTTGAATTAGATTTTATGTTATTTGGAGCACAATAGCTGTGCATAAATCTCAATAATAACTAATTTACCTATTTAAAGATTGAACAGCAAGGCCTCCTCCAATAATACATGGAACTAAATTTTTCGAAGCTGGTATTTCTATAGTGTGTTATATTACCGGTTTCTGTTTGTTACAATCTATTTATCTCTTTATTGAGTTTAGTTGAGTTTGTAGATTTTATTGTTATATTGATTGGTAATAAGTTATAAGATCTTTATTGGAAGGTTCCTTTCCTATTCTTCTACTAATCAAAATTAATTCTCGATATTGTAATTGTCTAACTTTCATGTGAAAAGAATTTATTTCATTCATCATCTAGAATAGCTTGGATTTAATCTTATACTTTTTTTATATAAAGATGGATAATGGCTAGTAGTGGAATCTAGTTTGACGCGTGTTTTGTCCTATTTTGGGACTCGTCAGCTGGATGTACCCGCATCTCCGAGTTTATGTTTACTCCAAGACTAGAACCTAGTATCGTTCGTTTCAAACGTCATCGCGTTATCCACTTAGCTACTGAGTCGTGATACCAACCTGCTTATGCATTGGGGTGAGGTTATATTCACTTGGTGTTGTTTACTTGTATCTTCCCATTGTTATCTAAGACTGCAATTGATCAGTCTCTTATTGACATATGTACATCCTATGCGAATCGCCTTGATGTTGCCTTAATTCACAAGTTCTAATAATCAATGGGAAAATTCAAATAAACAATACCAAGTGAATATTGTTGTGTTTTTTTTCATTATTGTACAACCTACTATTTGTATGAAGTTTAATTGCTCCGTATCAATGTAAACTGTCTAGTATTTTATCTAATTTTTTTTTTTCATATTTCAGCTAACCCTGCAGTACCGGGATTTTTTCCACTTCAAACGGGGTAAGACTATAAAGTTTTGCCTGTGGTTTGAACATGAATTCTGATTATCCTATTATGATATATGATGTAATCTGTCCGATGGTTAGTAACTAATAATCAAATGATCATTGCATAATTGGACAGTTTCCTTTAAACTCATAGCTTTTCACTTCTTAAAGGTTACGTCAAGACTATCAGTTCATATATGTTTCAGTATAGTTTTTGATGGAGTTTTGTTCTCTGATCTGGATGGTTTAGTTGTGGAATTTTCTCTGAACGACATTATCAGCAGTACAAACTTCAGGTAGAAGTGTACAGTCTTAAAGCCAATTTGAACACAATAACATTATGAGCATGTTGTTCTTGGCTAATTTCAAGAGTATAGTGTAGTAGCTTTTATACTTTCTTCTTTGAAGTTTCATTTTTATCTAAATATGATTAATAAGCCTACAATGAATTACTGTAAAATGTAATGCCTTATTATTAAGTGCCTATATGTATTTGGATCCCAGTCGGTAATTAGACACAATGGCCTATGGGTTCTACTTTGATTCAATGGTCAATAGATTTCAGTTCTACACTACCTATTGATGCTTGATCAATCAATTAGTCTCGTTAGTCTTGATTCATTGTAGACCTTGAAATTTCGCACAAATCTTTGTGTAATTGTTGAATAAGCATATTTTTATTCATAACCTCCAAGCTCACTTTATTTTGATGGGGTTTTGTTCTCTGAGCTAGATAGTTTGGTCGTGGAGTTTTCATCGTTCTTCTGAACGACATCATCAGCACAAACTTCACCTTCGCCTACATGAATATCAATTAGCAGTCAAACGCCATGACATGCCCTCACTTATAACAATACACGTGGACAACTGCGGACACTCATTCGATTGGAAAAATGTGAAAATCTTGGACAGAGGCAATTCCAAAAACGCCAGAGAATGTTTAGAAGCTTGGCACTCAGGTCAATCAGCAATCAACAAGCACATTGAATCGATCCAATTTATCAGCCAATCAGGAAAATTATGCACAAATATAAGAACAAAAATCAAACCAATGGGAGACACAACAAAAACAAAAAAAGTAAACAACCACAAATTTAAGATCAATAAAACCAATCAACGTCGAGGTGTACAAGACAAGGTGTGAACCACATGTGGAGAAATTCGAACACTTCACTTCTATCCGAAGTTTGTGCTGATGATGTCGTTCGGAAGAACGACGAAAGCTCCACGATCAAACCATCCAGCTCAGAGAATAAAACTCCATCGAAATCATCCACCTGTGCTATGAATCTTCTTCACCATCTCAGAGCTCACTTTATCTCTGTTTCTTGTTTTATTTTATAATCATCTATCAACAATTCAAGTAGAATTCCATTTCTTGGATGAAATAGATTCACTTTTAACCTCATGAATTCTTCTACATCCATTTTTGTCATTTCGGCTTTCTTTCAAATGATTGATGATTTTAATGACTAAACTTTCATTTCGCCATCTATTTCTATGGCTTATCAGATGAGATAAATGTGAGTAAAAATAAAGACAATTCGTATTGATAGTTGCATAGTAACTATATATCTATAAAATGATAGAATAGATTGTATCATAAAGCGACCTGATATCTCAAATATTCAAAGAAGATTACGTAATTAACAAAAGGGTTAGAGAAGAATGCACCAATCCAATCACGATTGACTGAGATTTGGAAGATGTAAAAACCTTTACATATTTGGGCAGCATCATCGATGAACACGGTGGATCTGATGCAGATGTGAAGGCGCGGATCGGTAAAGCAAGAGCAGTATATTTACAACTGAAGAACTCAAACACAAACAAACGTTCAACCAACAACCATGTCAGAGTTTTTAATAAAAATGTCAAGACAGTTCTACAGTACGGGGCGGAAACCTGGAGAACTACCACAATCACATCCAGAAGATAAAAGTGTTTAATAACAGTTGTCTACGCAAAATACTTCGGATCCGTTGTTCAGACACTATTAGCAACAACCTACTATGGAAGAGGACAAACCAGATCCTAGTGCTGGAAGAAATCAGGAAGAAGCGCTAGAAGTGGATAGGACACACATTGAGGAAAGCACTCAACTGCGTCACAAGACAAGCCCTCACATGGAACCCTCAAGGCCATAGGAAAAGAGAAAGACCAAAGAACACATTACGCCGGGAAATGAAGATAGACATGAGAAGAATGAACAAGAATTGGATGGAACTAGAAAAGAAGGCCCAGGACAGAGTGGGTTGGAGAATGCTAGTTGGCGGCCTATGCCCCATTAGGAGTAACAGGCGCTAGTAAGTTAGTAAATACGTAATTAACAAAAGGGTTAGAGAATATTGGAAGGATGAAAGTAATTTACAGGTTAGAATTATAAAAAATAATTGTCCACTTGACAGATATGAAGAAAAATAGAAAACATAATGTTCATAATAATAACTGAATGATGATTATAAAAAATTGTTAAAGGATAATAATAGCTGACTATGGCTTAAAATTACAATCGGAAGTTCGATGTATCATGTTTGCACACAGAGTTCGGGCTTGAATTGGTGGATCAGTAACGCCTCAGCAATGCATACCGTTTTGATTCGATCTCCGTTTAATTCAGTTCTTTTGACTTTGTTGATTATTTCAAAAGAAGTCTCATCTGGAGCGACGTGTCGTGAGTTGATCAAGTGCTCTTGTATTGAAGTGGTGATTCATTCGGTTAATCCTTGAGGATAAATAGTTGATTAATTTTCTGTTTCTACTCGGTGAGACCCAGTTATGAAGATTCGTATACTGACCACTATAATTTAGCTTTTTACAGGTAGATTTATGTAAGGAACCATCTGACCTTCTTTTCAATCGGACATCAAGAAAGTGAAGTTATTCGTTCGTCTTTTCTTCCAGTGTGAACTGAATTGAGCGATAACAATTAATGAATCATTTATGGTGGAGTTTTGTTCTCTCTGAGTTGGATGATTTGGTCGTGGAGTTTTCATCGTTCTTCTGAACGACATCATCAGCACAAACTTATTCACCATCTGACAAATAATGAATGTATCATCCATATGTCTCTTATATAAATGAAATCTCTCAATTATTGATCGAAGTACCGTAATTTCCAGATTGGCCATGAAACAATCAGCCATGAGAAAGCTTAGTTGTGAATCCATTGAAATTCCAGCAGTTTGTCTATAGAAATTACTGTTAAATCTAAATGAAACATTGAGATTACATAGTAGAAGTAACTCTTTTAGATAATGTCTCGAGACACAAATACCAAAGTTGTTAAGATTTAGATGGTGGTTGGAGGTAGTCAACAGGAAACCCTGGACCCGGGTTTCGTGGTACTTGGCACTCGTCAGCAAGGTGTACCTGTAATCTTGAGGGAACTGATGCTCCCTGGCATTCGATCTGCACTAATAAGGACTAGACAAGCTTGACATTGATCGCCATCCAGTGATCAATCAATTGTGATTACATCTCAGTCCTACAGGAGGTTAGTCACGGCTCGGATAGCTCAGTGGTAACGTCTCTGACTGTGAAGCTGGGTGACACGAGATCGAATCCGCCAGGGAGCACTAGTTACCTCAAGATTACAGGTACACCTTGCTGACGAGTGCCAAGTAACACGAAACCCGGGTCCAGGGTTTCCTGTTGACTACCTCCAACCACCATCTAAATCTCAATACATAGTGCCCGCAGTGTCGAGTCACCTAGACTGGTGGCCACATTGCAACATGATCGATAGCATTCGATCTGCACTAATAAGGACTAGACAAGCATGACATTGATCACCACCCAGTGATCAATCAATTGTGATTACCAAAGTTGTTATTTTCAATATATTCATATAAAAAATGTGTAGTTTCTGTATGTGGAAGTGATGTTCAGTGAGATTGCTTTTCTTCCATTTACACTGATATTTCTAATTGAGTCAATAGAATCGAATGAATAAAGAGAGTTATATCTATGGATGAGATTTCTGACGGATTGTAACATTCCAGATAACTATTTCCTAATAAAATAATATAGAAAGTTATTCATATTAAGTAGAATACATAGAGAGATATTCTTCTTATGAACTTTTGGAAGTGCATATAGTCTTGACATAGCACAACCCAATAGTTTAAGGTGTTCATAGAGATCGCAATTGATAATAAATTAATCTTCCTTTGGATTTTAGTTAACATCTGTTCTGTTTTCTCAATTGCACTTTCTTTTGAGTGACTTCTTTAGAGAATTTGACAAGATCAGATAATATTGAAGATGGTTTGGTTACATAGTCATGACGATCCATAAGAACAATTCCTGAACCGTTATCTAGGCTACACAGTACTAAATCCTGATTTCTCCGAAGATCAAATATTTGAGATTTATGTTCTTTTATGTGTAATCGTCTAGTTATAGGTATTATGATAACATTTTCATTACAATAGTTTACAAAAGTTATATCGAAATGTTCATAATCCTTATTAGATAGTGGGATTAGGTCACTTACCTGATGAATGAGGTTTTCAAACTGTATTTTATCGTTGAGTTCAATAATGTTAGTAGACGTAATACAAAATGTAGGACCAAGAGAAAATGCTTATAGTTGAATAGTTGATAATATCGTACTATAGTAATTGAATATACATTTTTCATGGCGTCTCTGGATAAGAAGCCTGACTCTTCGTCGGTTCATGTCTTTCGTACGATTTCTGGTAACCATATCAATATAAAGCTAAAAATGAAGGATTTCTTTGAAAAGGAAATTGATTTTCATTGAATTCCCTTTTTTAACTTTATTCAATGACACAATGGGCTATTTTAAATAAATGTAAATGATAAATTCCTTATATTCACAATTCTTTGATCTTCGTCGACAATCACTGTTGCTATTACGGATAACTTTCAGTTTATATTTAAACTACTTTGACTTATGGAAAAGTAACAAAGTCTTAGTTTGTTTTTTTATGATTACTATTAACATTAGTTGTAACTATGTGCCCAATCCAAGTAATAGGGTGCACA